CCCCAGTCACTCCCCCCTCTCCCCACTGCCATTAGTCTCTATTCCCACGATTCCTCCCTCAGGCCTCTCTCTGCTCTATAAAGATAAGCAATTATTTTCAGCTTCAAGCAGGATGCTGCCCCTTGGGGACCTCCAAATGCCATAAGTCTGGGAGAAGGTAGATGATTTACAGATCAACAGACCGGGCAGATTCTGTGGGATACCAAGGGTTTGACAAGCATAGTTTTGCTAGCCATAGAAAAATCTGTAAGAAAAAAGGAGCCCGCTCTGGAGGAATCTGGTTGCTTTTCCCCCCATTGACAGATAATTCCACTTTTAGATGCCTACAAAAAAAAAGACAAAAACATTTTTGTGTTGTGAATTCTGGTATTTTCTACCTCACAGTGTGTGTGATTGTTAGCCAACAGTAACAATGGCCTGAGCTCGCTGGGTTTGCAGTGTTTCCTGGATCCCCAGCGACTCTGCCTGTCAGGCTCTCCCGAGGACCACTTGGGGCCAAGTCAGGACACAGGCGCTCAGCCCGCGTGGCTGCCCCTAATTCCCAGCGGTGCTCTGCACCTTCTCGCCCTGCAGCTGGCACAGCTGCCTCCCCAGCTCGCCAGCACTCCAGCTTGCCCAGCGCCAGGCACTGCTTTTGTGTACGCCACAGTATCCTGAGGGTCTGTGTTCATGGCTGGTTTGTTGTTAACTTCCTCTGCTAGGTTACTGCTATATTTTAGAGTGGATTCGTTGCATCTGTTTTGCCTGCCAGTTAAATTCAGTTCACCTTCACAAGCATTTAGGGAATCCTCGCTAAGGACAGATATAAAAGCTGCAGAGGTTACATAAAAAGGTAAGACCATAGTTCACAATCTAATTGGGCCAATAATTCAGGCACAAAAAGGGATATAAGGTAGGAGTGTAAGACAGAGTAAGATAGGAGTCCTAGGATACATAAAACATTGTTCCTTTACTATTAATTATGCTGTTAGAGGTTGGCCATCAGGGATGGGGTACTGATGAGGAAAAGGGTGAACAACGGAAGCAGGATATGGGCTCTGTCAAACATTTCTACAATAAGTAAGTCTAAACTTGAATTCTGAATGACCCTGTGCCCCTCTGGCTACACTGGAACCTTCTGGATAATGCTATGTTTGTGTGGTCAATCTGTTTTCAGAGTATAAGTATAAAGAAGCCATTATTTAAATTTTTAAGACTTTATTTTTTTAGAATAGTTTTAGGTTTCCAACAGAATTGAGAAGAAGGCACAGAGATTTTCCATACGTCCCCTGTCCCCACACATGTATAGCCTCCCCCATTATCAACATCACCCACCAGCGTGGTACATTTTTACCAGTGATAAACCTATATTGACACATCATAATCACCCAAGTTCATAGTTTACCTTAGGATTCACCGAGGTTGTAGATTCTATGGATTTGGACAAATGTATAATGTATCCACCATTATAATATCATACAGAGTATTTTCAATGCCCTAAAAAACCCCTGTGCCATGCCTATTCCCTGACCCTGGCAATGCTGAGCTTTTTATGGTCTCCATAGTTTTACCTTTTCCTGAATGTCATATAGTTGGAATTACACAGTATGTATCCTTTTCAGATTGTATTCTTTCGCTTAGNTGGAATTACACAGTATGTATCCTTTTCAGATTGTATTCTTTCACTTAATAATATGTATTTAAGGTTCATCCATGTGTTTGCATGGCTTGATACATCATTTCTGTGTAGTGCTGAATAATATCCCATTGCTTGGATGCACTACAGTTTATTTATCCACTCACCCACTGTAAAGGAAACACTGGTTTTCTCTTCCTATGAAGGGAAAAACTCCCCTCTATGCCTTCCTTCCTGCGTGTCTCCCGTGCTGCTCACACAAAACACTTCACTCTGACACTTCTGGTCACCAAATGTGTGGAAGTGTTTCCTCACAACGAGCAAGTCACTAACACCAGCAGGGTGTCCAGGGGGTGCCATGGCACCTCTCAGGGTTCTGCTTCATTCACTACAGGCAGTAAAGGGAGACGAGATTTTTGAGATAGGAACGTTACTGAAGAGCTGCATATACACGTCTGAAGTTCAGAAGAGGGACTGGGCTAGAGAGTGTGATTTGGAAATCATTACCATACAGGTGGCAGTTTAGTCGATGGGAATGGAACGGGTTCCGGGGAGAACGTGTAGGATGAGAAGGGACCGAGGTCCAGAGCAAAACACTCAAGAACAGAGAAAATCAGTGATTTTTCCTACTGACCCGGAATTGTCACCAAGCCCTTCGTTTAGGGTTTTGAGATCCTCTAAGGGGCTGTTGAGTTGGGAATTTGTTAGTTTGGGTTTAGTGAAATACATTTATGTGGTTCATAGTCATTTCCATGTATACTTAAGTTACTGCTCGCTATCCTAATATGGGAAAGGCTTCCTGAATGTTCCCACCACTTACCATGCCAAGTGTCATAAAAACTGTGAGAGAACATGTGGCCAGAGGACGTGTAGTGATATCAACATTGCAATTGGCACTAGAAATGCATAAGTAGCAAAGAAATAAGACATGAACTATTTGGAGCCAGAGGCTAGTCTATGGAAAATTCCTCCAATTATAAATCATATATGAAAGAAACTTAATTGAGGTTTTTTCAAATTTGACAATAATACTTAAAATGTACATGATCATTCCTATGATGAGTTGTGAAAATGAAAAAAACTGTTTTAAACATTACCAATAATGGAAACAATTTTTATGAACCATACTAGAAGACAGATAGGATTATCTTTCTATTCTCCCTATAGAAACTATTATTAAAAACATTGTTATATGAAGAGTTAAACAAAGGTTAAAAGGATATGCAGTCAAATATATTTAAGCAGTTAGGTAATTAAAAACATGTTATTTATATCTGAATTTCTTGATGTGTGGTTCTTGTCAGCTATCTAAAATTTATAATTTATTATGATCTCAATAAAAAATAAATAGAAAAATGATAGATTTAAACTCATTTATACTACTAATTATATCAAATGCAATTGTTCTAAGCACACGAAATAAAAAGCAGAGATCATCAGATTGGTTAAGATGTCAAAGCACAACTATGTGCTATCTACAAGAATCTAACTTTAAATATAAAAAAGCAGATAGAATTAAAGTGAAAGAATTTTAAAAAGATAGTCCATGATAACACTAATTTTAAAATATCTGGAGAGTTGTATTAATATCAGACAAAGTGGATTTCTAAGGAAAGAATGTTAGCAGGAATAAAGAGGGTTATTTTATAATGATGAAAGAAGCAATTCATCAAGAAAACATAATTTTAAATGTATTTTTACCTATCAGCAGAACTTCAAAATACATGAAGCCAAAATTGATAATACTGATAAAACACAACAACAGACGAATCCACTGTGGGTGTNAGAACTTCAAAATACATGAAGCAAAAATTGATAATACTGATAAAACACAACAACAGACAAATCCACTGTGGGTGTCAGAGATTTCAGTACTGCTCTCACAATAATTGACAGACTAAGTAGATAGGAAACCACTAAATATATAAGAGACTCGAACAGCACTATCAACGTACTTGATCTAATTAACACTTACAGAGATTCTATTCAATACCAGCAAAATATCCAGTTTTTATAAATGTATGTGGAACATTCTCCAGATGTATTAGTTTCCTAAANTCAGAGATTTCAGTACTGCTCTCACAATAATTGACAGACTAAGTAGATAGAAAACCACTAAATATATAAGAGACTTGAACAGCACTATCAATGTACTTGATCTAATTAACACTTACAGAGATTCTATCCAATACCAGCAAAATATCCAGTTTTTACAAATGTATATGGAACATTCTCCAGATGTATTAGTTTCCTAAAGCTTCCATAACCAAATAGCACAAACTAGGTGACTTAAAACAACAAAAATATATTCTCTCACAGTCATTTGATTAATGTCCGCCTTAGACTAATATGGCTTTGGATAGACCTGCAAAGACCCTATTTCCAAATAAGGTCACGTTTATAGATACCAAGGTTAGGACTTGAAAGTATCTTTTTTGGGGCACACAAGTCAACCCACAACACCAGATTAGACAATATTCTGGACCAAAAAACAGTCTTAATAAACATAAAAGGAGTANCCAGATTAGACAATATTCTGGACCAAAAAACAGTTTTAATAAACATAAAAGGAGTAAAATCATATAATGTACATTCTTTGACAACAATGGAATTAAATTAGAAAGTCAATAAAAAAAATATATTCTGAAAATCTCAAAATACTCAGAAATGAAACAACACACTTCTAAATAACCCATANAACATAAAAGGAGTAAAATCATATAATGTACATTCTTTGACAACAATGGAATTAAATTAGAAAGCCAATAAACAAAAACATATTCTGAAAATCTAAAAATACTCAGAAATGAAACAACACACTTCTAAATAACCCATGGATCAAAGAATAAACATGAGTGAAATTAGAAATTAAGGTGAATGAAAAAGAAAACACAATATATCAAAATCTGTTGAATCCACCTAAAGAGTGCTTAGGGACATCATAAACTTGTATGAAGCGCTTGTATTATAATGTGCTTACACTACCAAACTAAAAGGGCTTAAAATGAATGATTTAAGTTTGTACCCCAAGAAACTCAAAAGATAAGGGCAAATTAAGCCCAAAAAAGCATAAAAAGAATTAGAATAGATATGAATAGAAATTAATAAAATAAAATACTGAAAAGCAATAGAGAAAAATCAATGAAATAAAAACTCAATTCTTTAAAAATACCCAATAAAAATAATAATCTCTAGCTAGACTGATCAGGTAGAAGAGAAAACACATAAACTACCGAATTCCTTGAAAGACACAA